CATCCATAATCATCATCAACTCCCTAAATCATTCTCCCATCCTAGACATTTTGACATAGTTTTCGTGTAATTTTCTATTATCACCATCATACTTTATCATCATCACCTTTCATCACCGTTCTCCATTATCGTACTATCAACAATTGTCATCCTTTATCATCATTGTCATTATCATCATGATCATATAATCATAATTATTACAATCATCTTCCTCTATCATCATTTTCTCTATTATCATTCCACAACATCATTAGCATCCCTATCATAATCATCACTTTTTACTGTATCATCATTGTCACAATGATCTACTACCATCATCAAATCCAATCCATCATCATAATATTGTAATCTTCTATCAACATTACAATCAGCATCATCGGCATAATTCAGTAGGCCCTATCCTCCATCACCATCATCATCCATTAATTTTCTATTATTGTCACCATCATTTCTGTCACCATCCAGCTTCATAAGTTATCATCATTTATCATACTCCATCATTAGGCCTATAGACTTGTATGGAAGAAGACAATGATTATGTAAATTTTGATTTTATAAAAATATAATAATGGAAATATTTTAATATGCTGTGTTAAGACCTAAATATCTGATCTACTATACTGTACTTTGCAGAAATATGGCTCTTCATATGTTGAATTTGCCCAAAACATGATTTTAGAGAATTTCTCAGTAAGCATTAGGTTAACATTTGTAATAGCAAATAAATTGATACCAACATTGTTTTAATAGACCAAAGTGTTTTTTCAATAAATAACATAAACATTGAGGTCAAAGGATACAGAGGTCAAATCATATTTCCAGTAACTTGGATTTTGTACCCCACAATGTGTTCTACCACTATGCCAAAATCACTAAGTGTATTGTAACATCTCAATATACATAATAAAATAATAATAACAATTTATTTGGATATGCACTTCTGAATCAGTGGCACTCAACCACAGGGGGTGGTGCATCCTAACAACAAGAAAAAATATAAAAATTACAATCAAAAAGGAAGACATTAAAACAACAAGATAATCAAATCAGCTAAAACTAAAAGAGAAAATATTTCTATTTTCTCTATGACAAAAAGAACATCAGTCTCTAGATGACACGTCTCTCTCCTGCAACAGTCGTACGGAAAAACGGAACGCCCACCAGAGACACCCATCAGCCAACAACCTGATCGCAACAGGGCTGTTACAACCAAGAACGCACTCCCGCACAGCTACTACAAAAATAGAGACCTGTCACTACAGCTGTACAAAGTGTAAACAAGTTTTTAAAAGTCAAAACAGCTAACAACAATGAAACCCAGTGCCTTACAGTAGGAGCCATCCATTGTTTTTTATAACCGTCACATATGGAATTTTCATATTATTTGCTCAAAACCATGATTTTAAAGAAATTCACAGTAAGCATTAGTTTTCATGGAAAATGTTGTATTAGAGCAAATATAAATTTATGTCTTCGGTACTATTCGACACAAAAATAATTTCAATAGATCAAAGTATTACAGAGATATGGAAATTTCGTATTTTTTTTATAAAAAAAACATTTAAAATTCGGTCAAAGGTCATATATGTCAAATCAGATTCACACACAGTAAATTGGATTTTGTACCCCTACAATTATTTCTACCACTATGCCAAAGTTCACTACTGTAAAACGTCTCAATAAACATATGAACAGTATTTTTCCGAAATATGGTTTTTAACTATATTTGCCCAAAAAACATGGTTTTAAAGAATTTCTCAGTAACTATTAGTTTTCATTTAAAAAGTTGTATTAGAGCAAATGCAAATGTATGTCTTCTGAACAATTTGACATAAAAATCATTTAAATAGACCAAAGTAGCACAGAGATAAGGCACCATGCAAAAGGGCAAATTTGTATCCACTAGTGTAACAACCCCCACTTTTTATAGGCTTAGGAACTGGACTGTGTGCTTCCTGATCAACACTGAGAGTAAAAAGTAATTGTTTGTACATTTCGTAACCATCTCAGTAACCACTCCATCGATTTTATTGGTGCAACGGTTATCAGAGGCTAAATTTATTATAAAAACAATTAATGTATTGTCCGTTGTTAAAATTGGAAGCGTGTAAACATTAGGCCAACATTTTTACAAACTCAGAAGTGCACAATTTCTACTACAAACGATTTATTCTTGTTGTATATTATTAAGACCCGTATATACTAATGTTCAATATTATCTGCATATATAAATTCGTGTTTTTCCTAATTAAAAAAAATATATAGTTAGTCAAATGTTTTATATATCCGTTATTAAACAATTATACAGCCTTTGACACGGATGTCTGTCTATTTCGACTTATTTAAGTAGTGCTAACACAAGTTTACTTGACGCCATCGCGCCATGACTCACGATAATGATAAATTAAGTAATTCACCTTTATGCTTATCTCCTTAGTCCTTCATCGTAAGTTAAACGGTAGTATTTCCACTCGCAATAGTGTAGTCGTAATACTTGCACAAAAGTGAAATTCAAGAAGAGTACTACTTGTATATTTTAACTTCACTGTATATCTGAAGTACGTTGTATTCTGGTGTATTTTAAATATTTTTAATATTATTACTTTAAAGTATCCCTATTGTACATTTCAACTTTTCCTTAAATTTGCTATAAAGTCACATCTTGTATCTTGTCTTTCTTTTTATCTCAATTTGTACCAATTTAAAACATTGTCCATTTTATATAGACTCTTATGATTTTCTATAGTCCTAAAATATCTAATAAAAAATAAAGATTAACATGTGTTTATTATAGGCCTGTAGGCCTATTGAATTTTTTTTAGCAGAATCTTATAATTACATGATTTGTATGGTGGGTCTCAAGCATGTATGTATGACTATAAATAACGATTTTCCATGACGATTACCAGTCCTCCACAAAAAAAAAAACATCTGTCGACGAAACATCAATCGCAACATCAACAAAAAAAAACGGTAATATTCCCTCAAATTTTCTCACCTCAGCCCCAACCATGGTGGGGCTAATGTGAATGTGTCCACACGGCTTTGGGGTAGGTCGATTATATCAAATACATCAAAGAAAGTGTTTTATGGTACATCACTCGTATTAATTAGATCTCTGTTGTTGCCGAAAATGCCTGAATAAAGATCATGAGAAATTTGCTGGCGCTCTATTTAGACTAAACAATAAGGGTGTGATAATGGTGAATTTATACTGTATAAAAGTGTCATTTCCGGCATTCTAAAGGTACTATTTCTTCAAATGAACTTTCTCACCTCGGCCCCAACCATGGTGGAGCTGAGGTGGTTGTGGACTCACGGCTTTGAAGTAGATAAAGTAAATGCATCAAAGAGAATGTTTTTAAGTTTTATGTGTACATTACACATACGAATTAGATCTCTGTGGTCGCCGAAAATCGCTGATACTTTTGACTATATAATGGTGATGTGATGATGAATTTTACTATATAAAAGTGTCATTTCCGGCCATTTACAGGTACTATTTTTTTAAATTTTTGCACGCACCCCTACCGCCAATTCCTGCATCCGCCCAAAAATTGGGTCGGTCGAGCTTTTGCAGGTTTTTTTTTTTAACTTATAAATTTTAAGAAAAAAGACCCATAATCGCGCAGTTTACAATATCATTATAACAACTCATTGTTCCTTTTCATTAATCCAACTCATCTTTTATCAACCATACCCATTAAAAAATTTGGGATGGTATGAACTTGTAATAATAATAACTAATAATTTATTCTATTATTAATATCATAATCACAATTTTTGTATTATTATTATCATCATTATTATTTGTATCGTTATTAATTTTATCATCATTCTTATCATCTAATTAATATTAGTAGTTAATAATATTGATATTAATTTTTATTCTTATAAATTAATGAATATTATTTTTTCAAAAAACAAGTAAAACTGACGAAAATATTATAGCTTAAGATCGAACATTTAATGACAGAAAGTAATCATCCGAATCATCATTATCCTCACAAGTATTATCATTATTACTATTATTATTAGAATTAGAATAAATGTATTATAATAAATACTTATTATTATCACCACAACTATCACTATTGGTTTCTCCCGCGTTTATTCGGATTTTTAGCGGAAATGCGTTAGCAGAGAAAGCCATTGTATTTTACTTCTTTTTCTATCCCATTTTCCATTTTTCCTCCTTTTTATGTGCACAGGGTTGTTTTTTGCCAGGCACGTTGATAATTTTTAGTGCTTGGGTCTTTTTCAAACCTTCAAACCAAAATTCTGAATATCGCTCTCGCTATTATCATGGCAGCCATAGTTGGAGCCTCACCGATTTTGAGTTGGTTTTAATGTTTATTTTTTAACTCCATATTGTTTTTGGTATGATTTTATTGTAGTTTCCCATGTATTTTTACTCTATACTTTTTTTTTTGTAATTTTAACATTACTTCTCATTATGGGAAAGAGTTTTTCTATCTTTTTGCACATAATACATCGCTATCATCATCATTATTTATTATTATTATTATTATTATTATTATTCTTAAATAGGCCAATATCAAATTTATCATCATTATTATTGTTATTATAGTTAAACTAAACTAGGTAAACCAAGTCGACTTTGCCTAACTCGAATAAAAGTCGAACTTTTATTAGAAGCCAAATTGTTGTGTTTTCCAGTATAATTAACAATCTAGAAGTCGAATAATTATTCCATGGCATTTTGGATTCGACTATGGCAAGTTCAACATTATCGTTATTAATGTTATTATTGTCATTGTCGTCGCCATTACATCGCCTTCGCAATCATCTTCGTCTTAATTTCATTTATATTCAATATAAAAAACTGCTATTATAATGCCAATAATTTTTAAATAAATAAATATATAATAAATAAATTAATCAAAGTAATAAATATTTTGTTTAATAATTATTTTTAAATAAATTGTTCTAAATGGTGAAAGGAGAATCTTTATAAAAATGCTACATTTATTCTTCAGGTTTTAGCTGTCTTATACAAGGAAATGAACTGGTATATTTCTGTCAATCAAATCCTGTAGTAATCACGTGTAATATAAATTTGGTCAAAACAGCCGTATTATACTGGTACCACAATGATGCAAATAAGCCTGTTGCCTCGTACATATTTTCTGATAATAGTTCTTGGCCAGATGACGAAGTTTCGTCGTATTTCCCTATAACAAATAAACTTTATATAAGACCTACAGCAGTTGAAGAGGGAGACATCTTGATTTGTCACACTCCTCATGGCAGGAAAAACACTAAGGAATTCATTTTACATCAGTTCAGTAAGTTAAAATTTTTACGATAATATTTCATGATCCAACAACGTTAAATAGCCCCAATTTAAACTAAAAACTAAATATTTTGTACCGGTACGTCCTATGCCATTTGCCATTTTATAAAAACCTATACTGAGACAGGTACATTCACTAGTTTCAGTTAGTATACACAATTACCGTAAAATGTATACAAATATTTCGCCCTCAACCTATATATATACATATATATATATATATATATATATATATATTTGTATGTATGTATATATATATGTATATATATATATGTGTATATATATATGTATATATATGTATATATACATGCTTATATATTATAATATTATATTATGTTTAATATTTATACATTAATTGATTTATTTATGCCTAATATGAATATTCTCATTATTTGCAAAGTGAGAACCATTTATAAATTCATATTGATTGATTGAAACTGTTGTTTTCTCAAATTTATACAGAAACACCCCATACAACTTTGAACTGTCCAGAAGGTCCTTTTGACAGGGGAACTGCAGTAAAACTAAAATGTATAGCTAGTGGATTCTATCCTAACGGTTCCATTAAAATCTCTTGGTCTACCAACGAAGAGTTCTATATGGAAACCCAAGAGAATATTAGTAAAGGCATCAATGACTGGTTTGACTTGAGCTCAGAGGTTTCATTCCAACTATTGGCTAGTCTTAACGTAACATGTATTCTACATGGATCAGCAATGTGCACAGGAAATGTAACAACGACCTGTAGCGTAATGATCACAGGTACTGATTCATTGTTTATTTCGGTATCTACAAATTAATATTAAATTGATATAGTAGTAGTAAGTCTACTGTAGTGGTTTTGGTGGTGCCTGTATAGATACTGCACTGACCTCAATGGTGATTTTTTTTTGTTATAACACACCTGATATTTTCTTTGTCATTTGAATTGCTTAAAAGAAAAAAATGGGAAGGAGAAAAGAATAAGAAAGGGAAAAAGAAAAGAAAGAGAAGACAAAGAAGAAAAAATAATTATTTTTTTAGTCACTTGAATTTTTTTTTTTCTGGTAATGGCAAGGGCCGTTTTTTAGGTGTGTTACAAATTTAAGTTCAACAAATGAACATGCCTCAAGTACATGGCTGAGTCATTCATTTGAAGTTGGACTGCTCCATTCGGCTTGGGTCGAGTTGGGCCGCCCATCTCTTGCTCATAGGATATTCCTTCCATTGTACTCATTAATATTTTCTTTTCAGTCTTTTTAATTTTTTTTTTTTTCAACTTTTCTTTGTATTTTGTATAATGTTTTTATAATGTTTTCTTGTTATTTGGGTGCACCACCAGATGGTGCGTGCCACTGATACAAAAGTGTTCAAATTAACTTTAAGTTCGAATAAAGAGTGCAGGCACAAATAGTACTGCAAATGCGGTGTTAGAAATAGATCGTCACAGCAGCAGAGAGCAATAGAGTATAGCTACAGTAAGTTTATCATTTACTCTGAGGCCGCCTACTACCGCCATTAAGTGTTTTGTTTTTAATTGCTTGCGATTCACATGATCTCGATGGCAGTTTAAAGGAAAGTGTCGTGGATTTGGCATCTGCATTTCCGTGGTTAGTATTTTTGCTTGGAAAGCAAACTGACAATAGATAGGGCCTTTTAAAAAATAATACCCATGATATGAAGATGAAAAAATATCATTGACAAATTACAAACGAACAAAATGTTTCCATTTCGTTGGTAATTCATATCCAAATAACTCAACTCATGCTTCATATTCTTAGTTGAAGAGCACTAGTTCTTTGAACGGCAAATAACAGATTAAAGATGCGGCCTTTTATTAAGTTTTAAAGAAGACAGGATCCCCACATCGATACTTTATTTTATTAAATAATAAATCATAATAATATAAAGAGAATGAAGGAATATGTGAATGTGGAAAAAAAGTTGACCTAACCGGAATTCGAACCCTCGACCTTCTACTGTCTATACAGACGCCCTTACCAATTAGGCCATTTAGGCTTCGTTAGAAATTCAGTCCCGGGTTCCATTCTTGTCACGATAACAGGATTTGTTCTCACGACTAAAAGCAATTCCACTCTCTAAGCCTCATAATGATACTTAGTTTATGTACTGTAGAACATCTCTTTGGTATATTTGTTTTGTAAAGGAGTGCCACTTAGTAGAGTGATTACATTTACTATTGATACACCCTTCGCCCTGAACTTATTTACAATTATTACAATTTATTTTTGATTATCCAATTCATTCCATAATTTAAGGCCAGTTACAGTAATAAAAAGATTAGTTTTAGTTAGTCTTTGAAGGGGTCCACTCGCTAGTCATAAGGTTCGCTATTTATAAGGTCCACTGTTCATAAGGTCCGCTAGTTATAAATACAATTGTTTATAAGGTTCACTATCATGTTTGTTTAAAAAGTACACTATTCATAAAGCTCATTATTTATAAAGTTCGCTAATTATTAGAATAACAGGTTCGCTAGTCATAATAAAGGGTTCATTAGTCAAAATCAAGAAATGAGTTCGTTATTTATAATAGAAACATAGGACCGTTAGTCATAAGGTTCGCTATTCATAATAAAAAGAAGAGGTTAGAAATTCATAATAATAAAAAAAAGAGGTTCGTTATTCATAATATAAAAGAAAGGTTCGCTATTCATAATAAAAAAAAAAGGTTCGCTTGTCATAATAAATAAAATATGTTGCTAGTCATAGAAAAAGAGGTTCGCTAGTCACAATAAAAAGAGGTCCGCTATCTATAATTTTTTTTATTTTTAAAGGAGCCCCAACGCTAGTACAAATTTAATTGTAATACTTTTTTAAATAACTCTTTAAATAATAGTAAGTCAACAAACGGATTTTTTTTAATATCCGAAGCTTTTAAAATGTAAGTATATAAATATATAAAATTTTTTAATAAAGTCTATATTTAAACAACACGTAAAATATTTGAATTAATAACTGTAACTATTAAATATAATTTAAAACCACACTTGAAGCAGTTGTTTACAAGGTCTACGTTGAAAGTTATGTGAAGTACTACATATACTCATCTCCATTTCAATGCTCACCACCCCTCTCCCCTTCGCTTGTTTCCTGAATAAAGAGTTACGAAGTATCCGTACAAAGTCAAGGAAGTTGTACTAGTAAGCCCTACAAGTCAAACAGATATAAGCATGCATATATATATCTGTCTCTTATACACATCTAGATGTGTATAAGAGACAGGTCTCCAATAACCTCTGCCCCACCATGGTTGGAAGCTGAGGTCAGACAATTTTGTAAAATTTACACGTCTAGATACTCGGAAATAGTGTAGTGGGAAAAGTTAAAGAATAAACAATGCGGGTTATAAAGAGTGTAATTAAAAACGGGTATACATTAATTATAATAAACAGTTTGTAATGAGAACGGAGATTAATAGTCGTTCCCACATTATGCCGACAGTATAATAAACAGATAGTATATTGACCAAATTTAAAATAAAAACAGGAAATAGAGAAACATAGCATATCATTTAAGCCACAATGGACGCAAGTATAAAATATGTAATATAATTAAAGTATAATGTCATGGCGAGTTAAATAAATATAATAGTCAAAATGAATCTATATTATGTTTTACGTTGCGGAAAATATATTTAAGTTTATTAATAACACCTATCGATTTTGAGATTTTATTTGCAATATATTTATGATGACTAGTCCATAATAAGTTTTCATGAATTAAAACACCTAGAAAAAAGTTTCATATTTCCTTTCAATAGTAATCATTGAGATAAATATTACGATTATCTTTATTTAGCTTTATCCTTTTTGACGGCTATGAAATAAAACATAATTTGTTTTTGCAGTATTTATAAGAAGCTTATTCACAGTAAACCAGGTGCTAATCATGGGCAACTCATTATTAAATGTATCAAATAAATTATCAATGCATTCATTAAAGTAAATTAAGGTAGTATCATCAGCAAATGAGACAACCCTAAGGGTGCTAATTACATTTGTTAAGTCATTAACATAAATTAAAAATAGGAGTGGTCCTAAGACCGACCCCTGAGGCACTCCACAGGTTATACTCTTTGCAGATGATTTACATGAATTTATTTAAACAAACTGCTTCTGCCCATTAAGATAACTTTTAAACCATTGCAATGAGATACCTCTGATACCATAACAAAACAGTTTGGAAAGTAATAAACTGTGGTTAATTACATCAAAAACCTTTGATAGATCCAGAAAAATACTTAACATGTATTCATTATTTTCAAAAGATTTATAGACGGAATTAATTAAATCAAGAATTGCATGGTTGGTAGAGTGTTGTTTTCGAAAGCCAAATTGACGATCGGTTAAAATATTATTAATAGTAAGATAATTATAAAGCCTACAGTACATTAATTTTTCAAGAATTTTAGATAAAACAGATAATATAGATGTAGGCCTATAATTATTAACACAATTTGAGTCTCCTTTTTTAAAAACAGGAACTACTTTTGCCAATTTTAAGTGATCAGGCACATGTCCATTAGTGAAAGAGGAAATAATAGCATAGGTTAAATGACTAATAATAAAGGGATAAATTTGTATAAGTACAGATGATGAAAGATTGTCATATCCAGATCCCTTTTATGAATCAAGGCAATTTATTAAGTCCATTACATCGGGTTCACATACAGGTGTAAGAAAGAAAGAATTGAGTGGTGGAGTGGGTAAAAAAGAAAGGATCTGTAATGCAGTTAGGTATGGAATTAATAAAGGTGGATCCAATTACAGAAAAATAAGAATTAAATTGTTTACACATGTCATCAGTATTAAGGACATAGTCGTTCCCAACTTTAAGTGTTTTAATATTATTTCTTTTTTGGGGGATTTATTACTGAATTTATTACTTTCCAAACACCATTAGGATTCGATTTAAATTGGTCAAGTCGATTATTAAAGTAGTTTCTTTTAGAGTATTAACATAAAAATTTTTTTAAATGTGTTATATTTTTTAAAAGTTAGTTCACCAATGGGATCACGAGTTTTAAGAATTTTTTTGTATAATTTATGTTTGTGCTCACTGCATTTAAGAACGGACTTGGTCATCCAAGGCTGTTTTAACAAACTGTTCTTTTTATGTTTCGTATTACGTTTCGTATTAATACATAAATGATTATAAACGGTAAAAAACTTTTAAATAAATAGATTAAAGAAAGTGCAAGGATTACATTTATACATATCAGACCAGTCTTCATTTGTTAAATCATGACATAAAGCATTAATATCGTTTATAAAATAAGAAGAAGGTCTATCAGAATTTAAGTAACATTCTAGTAATTAATTGTCAATTATTTGAAAGATGGGAAGATGGTCCGATACATCAGTTATAAGTACACCAGATTTTATCACGGTATTAATTTGATTTGTATATAAATGGTCTATTAAAGTTGCACTACTGGTTGTAATCCAAGTTGGCTTTGATATGGTAGGGAAAAAAAATTGGGAATAATTATGTTAAAGTAATTATTGGTGAGATTGTGTTTATTTAATTTCATTAGATCTACATTACATTATGTTACAATCTTTTTGTAAAGAATTTAATTTAATTAACAGTTTATCCATTGTTATTGAAAATAATCCTATATCTTAATCTGGTGGTTTATATATAATGCCAATTATTTATTTATTTTTTTTTTTTTTTTTGGAGCAATAATTTCGATAAAAGGGGAATCGCATATATTTTTAGGCAAAGTTAAATCGTCTCGTAATTTTATACAGTATTTAGATTGTTTCGAACAAATAGCAACACCACCACCTTCTCTGATATCATGTCTATTGTCACATGGTGGAGCAATAGCTAAAATAGCTTATTGGACGCAGCAGGAAATCATAGTATATAGTATTCAAAATAGATTACACAAAAATATAAACAAAATAGATAAATAATAACTGCTCCAATAGGATCATCAGATATTACAATCGTATCAATCATATCTCTTCAACGAAAAGAGTTGTATAAAAACTTTTTGTAGCAGGATCCTCTCGTCATCAAGGCGAGCTTCATACAGTAAGACCATCATACAGACCTGTACGGTATATAATAATAGCCGCAAATCTAATCCCCCAAAAATTTGCTGGCATACCACCTTTTTTTTCATATAACTGAAATTGTGTGATGATGATGATGTGATGTTTAATATTATGATGTTGATGGTGGATGATTACGCTTGTGATGATACATTGATGATTATCATTTTGGAAATGATAAATCTGCTGATTGTGGTTGAGATAATGACAATAATGATGATTTTGGAGCTTATGATAATAATGATTATAGTGATAATGATGATGATTATTGTAGTGATGATGATGCTGATGAAGACATACCTTGATTCTGTTTTTTTTCCTTTTCAGATCCAGTTAAAAAAAAGAAATTCATATACATTATTTTGGTTATCGTTGTGATAGTTGTAGTTATCTTCGTAGCGTTATGTCGTCGGTACCGCAGAGCAAAGCTCATCATTGAAATGTTTCGCCAAAAATTTTTGTCTAGTGATGGAGTTCAAATTCCATCCGGAGAGAATGATGATAGTGATGAAAGCCCGCCAATTGTTTATTACAACGTTTGATATGAAATGATATTAGAGGGTAATTATACATTTTATTGATATAAGCGTTTTATTAATGGTTTATTTGTGTCTTAAATATTGTACGGATGGAAGGGTGGGAAAGTGCGACGCTTCCAACTTATCGTAGGTCACTTGATATACAGGAGCGCTCTTTATTACATGAAAAAAAAAATGTTGATAAATTTATAATCTAAATCTCTTTACTGCGGCTCGCTGAATATAGCGATGTGTTTTAGTAATTTAAAACAAATTCAGTGCTGTTGATGTGTTTAATTTAATTTAATTTAAAAATGAATACATTACATTGCATATTGAAAAATTATTATTTCAAACAAGAACGTATGTTAAATGCTGTACTTTGGCGGTTTAATGTTACTGTACACATATAATATTTTAAAAAAAATAATCTTTTCAGCTTGAATTTCTTGTTTACTTCGTGACAATATTTCGGTTTCAATCACGAACGCATCATGGGTCAAGCTGGTCTTCTGTAGCTAAAGGTCGTTGACCTGTGACGTCAAATAGAATGTCAAAGTTGAACCTTTAGCCACAGAAGACCAGTTGGAAATTTTTTTTTTTATAATTATACATTATACTTGCCTAGATGAATAATAGTATTCACAAACGTTATATAATGAGGTTATCTGTGGTGCAGGTCAATAGTATTATTAAATCGTTTAAAGGTCTGTTAAAGTAATACATTATACTAACGATTGACTTCTATGGGGTGCACGGGGTGGGGGCTCACACCCCTCCAAAAATTACTCGCGGCTCTTCAGTCGCTTCCAAAAATAACTTGCAAGTAGATAAAAAAAATCTCCTAAAATCACCTTATTAGCACTCAACTGCAACTGTCATACTGTAGAAAGACGGCATTCCCATAGGGCCATGGTAATACTGTAGCTTGTCAGAAGAAACTCACTAAACTGAAAACTGTTTATCTTAAGAAAGTTGATTATTATATCCAATGTAGGCCAAATTAACTACAGTAACAATTTTACAATAATCAATATATAACAATCTCTTTATTGGTACACAATAGTATTAAGGAAACATTATCCCTTATTGTATCAAGCCTTAAATACGCCATTATTGTGTGGGGATCCTTCAATCCTAGTAACGTGAAACGACTTATAACGCTACAAAAAAGGAAATCAGAAATAATGCCAGTAGGAAGAAATATCAGTAGGAATAAATGTTATTAACAAAGGGATGATCCATTTTAGAATCGGGATGTTGGTTAAGACATAGACAGGAGCTATTACACACCCAATTAATTCTACTCATATAGTAATTACTGGTGTTTATAGTATAATTAGCAAAGTAGAGTATCAGTCATTTCTTCATTGTATTAATTAGCCTAATTATTTATTAGGTTGTATCTATTTTACTAAATTTACCATAGAGCATCATTATTTATTTAAGTACAGTAAATACAATCTAATAATACATGTATTTATTTTTTACGTAAGTGTATTAAGTATTATAGTACATTTACTAACATTAATAATACAACCAAATAATAAAAATTTGTCCACTTTGTTTTTATAGTACATTTAATAACATTAAATGCCACCAGAAGGCGGACGAGTAAGATTACATTGTTCTTCAGCCAACGACATCTACTACTTCATCCATCATCAGTGGAAGAACACGTGATCAACTTTGAGGTGTTGGAGCACCATCTATAGAAGACTATTGAAAGTGAAGATGGACTGTCTCTGAAAGAAAGGAGACTGAGGGTGCGGTAACCCTAATTAAAAACCTCTACTAACAACACGCCATCTCTGCCAGCGCGTCAGTATAAGGCAGAAACCCCTCATGATGAAAGAAAACCAAAGAAACGGCCGTATGACCCTTGGCCAAAATTGGTACCATCGAGATGGTAATGTGCCCAGAATTTGTAACTCAGAGGATATTTCTCAACATGACGTCTTGTAGTCAAAGCCAAACGGACGCCACAGGACTGATACGAGTAACAATCCTGGACGAAAAGTTTTAAATTTAAGTGTATGTAATTACAACACTAGGACTATAAGAACAGATGAAGCTCTAAAACATCTAATCCACGAATTGAAAGATTCTAAATAGGACATAGTGTGTTCAGGGACGTAGCCAGGATTTTGAAAGGGGGGGGGGAGCCGTTATGCAAATTACGTAGGACCCCGGCGGGGTCAAGGAGGCGAATCCCCCTGTGAAGTAGCGCACTCTGAACGTTCTTAGAACTGTTTGAGAGGATAAATTGAAAATTGCAATAGACGCATTATAAATAAGCGCAAAAATAATTATATAATAAATTAACAGTGGCAGATCCAGGAATTCGAAAGAGAGGTGAACGAGGGAGGGACTTTCACAAACCGAGGAACCACCCACCTCAGCCCCACCATGGTTGGGGCTGAGGTAAGAAAATTTATTACTAGGGTATCTCTAGATGGCCGGAAATTACACTCTCGCACTTCAATTTGAATATATTTTTCTTCTTTATTTTTCCTTAAAAAATGAAGGGGGGGGGGGCCTTAAATCCACCTCTGCTCAAAGCATTCTTTATCCACTGCCAGAATAGTCATAATCACGAAAAATGGACATGAAAAACCAGATCACATCCTAAAAACAAACAGCAGTCACTAAGACATACATCAGGAGCCGATTCGATGGAGTTCAATGTCATACCCAGGGAAGGGCATAGACCTGTTTTGAAAGGTGGAGAGGGAGGGCAT